TTCAAAAGATCACTGTTCCCATTGGCTCTCCTGGCCTCCCGCCAACTCACTTCCTGCTTTCCTAGCATTCCTAGAGACTCTAGGACCCACTGTCTATGGTTTTAACCCCCCACAGGCAAGGCAAGCAGGGTTAGGTTTCAAGAGTTAACCACTGTGAGTAAATCCAATGGCAGGAATGTCCAGAAAACAGAGCCCATCTCCCTCTGCGGCACACAAGCTAACAGCGGTGCCACTGTAAGATCCCTCATGTAGCTGCTCGATGCCAGTGGGAGAGAGAACATAAGAACGGCCGTACTGGGTCAGCCCAAACGTCCATCTAGCCCAGTATCCTGTCTGCCGACAGTGGCCAGCACCAGGTGCCCCAGAGGGGGTGGACCGAAGACAATGATCAAGCGATTTGTCTCCTGCCATCCCTCTCCAGCCTCTGACAGACAGAGGCCAAGGCACCATTCCTACCCCCGGCTGATAGCCTTTTATGGCCCTAACCTCCATGAAATTATCTAGCTTCTCTTTAAACTCTGGTGCTCTCCTGGTGACACAGTTAAACCACCCCAATGAGTGGCAGGGGCTATGTCATTGGGCAAGCATCTCCCACCAACATGATGCTTTGCACATGGGTGCTTCTCTCGATGAAACAGCTGTTGCTCAGAGGCCAGCAGCCTGGAACAAGTTGTACCATTTGGGTGCTGAGAGCAATTAAACCAAACTATAAACCCTGTCTCTGATAGGGATAGAGAGGGTTAACTGGTTAACTGTTAAGCATTGTCTTACCAGCATGCTTACTGGGGTAATCAGTTAACCTGCGCCCAGCCAGCTGCAGCGGTCCCCCGCTCCAGCCCGGCTGGGCCCACCACTCCTAGCTGTAGTCGGGAGGTGCTCCAGCCCGGCTGGGCCCACCACTCCTAGCTGTAGTCGGGAGGTGCTCCAGCCCGGCTGGGCCCACCACTCCTAGCTGTAGTCGGGAGGTGCTCCAGCCCAGCTGGGCCCACTGCACCCAGCTGCAGGTAGGGGGGCACTTGAATGCTGGGGTGGGGAGTGCTCCAGTCCCCCTCATCCCCCCACACCACACACACCCCTCTGGCAGTTAACCGGTTAAACCCATTGACATGGGATTTTACATCCCTAATATCTGATGGAAACCATTCCAAGTCCAGGGGTGCAGCAGGGCCCCACTTCCCTTGTTCCCGCACCTGCACTGAGAGGGGAGTTTTCCACACCCCTGAGCCACATGCCTTACACTGACAGAAGAGCTGGCGTAGCCCTAACCTGGCACAAAAGCTTGAGACGGGTGACTCTACCCCTGCAGGCCACTTCCCAACCGGCTCTCGGCTCGCTTGCCCTTGTTTAGCTCCCCAGAGCATTTCGCCCACAACGGAGCCCGTCTGCAGCTGGTTCCATGGAGCAGGATGTTGCCAGGTGCGTGGGCTACTCAGTCCCTGCCCCCTGGCTGCGCAGAGATTCTGGAAAGCGACTTCTCCTCCGACAGGTGAACTGCCCTAGCCCTTGCAAGGGGGGTTAATTCCAAATATGGATGATGGCACGTTACAGGTGGAGTCCCCCTCCCCGCTCTCAGCCCTGGGTGGCCGACAGTGGGAGCCCCCACTCTCAGCCCCTGGCTGCTGACAGTGACAAATCACAGAAAAGCCCAGGACCTTATTACTGCACACAGTCCAGTCCATTAGTACTTTCCCTTGATTTTCCACAGCTCGTCCACCACTCAGTTGCAACGTTTGGCAGGCACCCTGCAGGTCACGTAGCACCTTCATTCTAGCGCGTGCAGCACAGAACCATGGCCAGCACGTGCCAACCAGGCGCTGACAAGGGTCCGATCCCGCCAGGAGTTTCCCTGTCTCGTGGTGAGCTGTGTGCCAGCCCACTGCACAATGTCAGACTCTGCTCAGGCTTGTTTACCCACACAAGTTGTACCCATTTCACTCCACGGCTATGTCTAGACGGCATCCCTTTTCCGGAAAAGGGATGCAAATTAGACACCTCTCAATTGCAAATGAAGCGGGGATTTAAATCTCCCCCGCTTCATTTGCATTAAAATGGCTGCCGCTTTTTCCTGGCTCGGAGTTTTGCCGGAAAAGCGCCAGTCTAGACGCGGATCTTTCGGAAAATAAAGCCTTTTCCGAAAGATCTCTTTTCCTTATTTTAAGAGGAATAAGGGATCTTTCGGAAAAGGCTTTATTTTCCGAAAGATCCACGTCTAGACTGGCGCTTTTTTCCGGCA